TTCTTTCCCTCGTCTGCCGACCCTTCGCTGTTCGTCCGCCGTGGCTCGACCCCCTTCTTTGTTCTGGTCTACGTTAACGACCTGGTCTTCGCCACTCCCGACCGACGCACACTGGCCTCCGTGAAGGTGGGAATGCAGAGGAGACAAACTTGCACCGACCTTGGTGAGCTGCAGCGCTACCTTGGCCTGCAGATCACCAGAACAGGGCAGCTCGCACCATTACGCTGACACAGACAAAAGCTTACTCTGAGTTAGGACTGTCAGAATGTTATAATTGTCTAGCCTGCAGTGGGGTACTCTATAGCGAGTACAACCCAATTAGGGTTTCCTATATGTATGCCAACTGCTGCTAGTGCAAACGCTCCTTTCTTCATTCTTACTTTCTACTGCTAGTTCTGACATGCTATCAGAGCAGGTCGACCCCCTTGGGTCGATCCTGTGGGTGGGCCCACCACCTAATGCTTCCGCTGCTTTACTTCCTGTCGTGCGCCTCGGGTGCGCGACGACTTCTTCCTGCGCGAATTTTTTCTGGCGTTTTTCATCCCGCCGTGCGCTCGGGGCGCGCGGCGGTTTTCTGCCCGCCGTGCGCCCCGAGGCGCGCGGCGGTTTTCTCCACCGTGGATCCGCGCGCGCCCCCCCCGTCTCTCCCGTCGCCCGTCGTGGCGTCGCGGGGGCCGCGCTTCCCCCCCATCCCGTCGCCCGTCGTGGCGTCGCGGGGGCCGCGCGTCCCCCCCATCCCGTCGCCCGTTGAGGCGCCTCGGGGGCCGCGCGTCCCCCCCCTTCTGTCGCCCGTCGTGGCGCCACGGGGGCCGCGCGTCCCCCCCCCCGTTCGCGTCGTCACGTCGCGACACTCTGGGGAGCCGCGCGCGGCCCCCGATTCCCCGTCGCGCCGCCCTGGGGAGCCGCGCGCGACCCCCCGCTGCCCCGTCGCGCCGCCCTGGGGAGCCGCGCGCGGCCCCCTGCTGCCCCTTGGTGGCGCCCTGGGGGCCGCGCGCCTTCCCCCCCGCCGTCCCCCGCGCTCCTACCCCTTGCAACCCGTTTTAGGGTTTGGGGGTGAGGAGTGTGGGGGTGGCGGTTGTGGGGGTGCCCGTTGTGTGCGCTGTCCCCTACTCCTCCTCCTCCTCCGTCTCCCGCTGCTGCAGCTGCCGCTCAGGGGGGTGTGTGTGTGGGGAGCCGAAGGAGTGGTGCTAGGGGGGTGAAGGGGGAGTGGAGCTAGGGGTGAAGCAGGGGGTGTGTGTCAGGGGGGGTGGGACTGTTTGGGGAGGCTGAGAGGAGGCTGCCGTCTTGTCGTCCGCAGCACCTGTAGTCCGGGGCGCTGTCCTGGTAGCCCAGAGAGCCTGCTGCGCCTGTCGCCCGTGGGTCCGTTGCTCCTGTAGCTCCTCGTAGCCCGTGAGCCAGTTACTCCAGTAGTCCGGGGCGCTGTCCCGGTAGCCACTGTGCCAGCCGCTCCTGTTGCCCGTGTGTCTGCAGCTTCAACCGTCGTCTCCCATCTTCTCTCCTCTCACAGTCCCTCCTCCTCCTCACTTGCCCGCTGTGACTACCACTAGCTTGCTCATTGTGCTGATTACACCCCACTTTGGCTATGGGGGTGTGTCAGAATGTTATAATTGTCTAGCCTGCAGTGGGGTACTCTATAGCGAGTACAACCCAATTAGGGTTTCCTATATGTATGCCAACTGCTGCTAGTGCAAACGCTCCTTTCTTCATTCTTACTTTCTACTGCTAGTTCTGACAAGGACGCGGCACCTTTAGGGAGGAAGCCACGATCGATCCTGAGTGGGGATCGATTCTGGCTTGTACAGTAAAATCGCGACATCGCCAACATGCTGGTATCCGTTTTCGCCCCATCTAAGTGTACAGTAAATTGGTGCCCAAAGTGGTGGCTCCTCTGGCTCGCGCGATCGATGTGTCAGCGCCCACACATCGATCGTGTAATTGTGGAGATCGGGCAATTTTGCCCCATATATTTTCAATCCTGTCACCTGTGGCTCGGTATGACCAGGCAATTGCAAATCTGCAGTGTGGACACATCGGTAAGGCGCGGCACCTCTAGGGAGAGAGCCACGATCGATTCTGAGGACGCGTCACCTGAACGACGATCGTGCAAAAACCGATCTTTCACCGCACTGGAAACCTGCGTATTGCTTTTAGAAGTTCTAGACGTTTTTTGAACCACGAAAAAAATCAATCCTACATAGGATCAATCGCAGGATCGGCGTTCAGGTGTCGCGTCCTGAGTGGGGATCGATCCTGACTTGTATTGTGAAATCGCAACGTTGTAAACAGGCTGGTATCCGGTTTCGCTCTACCTCACAAGTGTAGAGTAAATTGGTGCCCAAAATGGTGGCACCTCTGGCTCGCACGATCGATGTGCCTGCGCACACACATCGATCGTGCAATTGTGGAGATCGGGGCCCTTTTGCCCCAGAAATTTTTTATCGTAGCACCTGTGTCTCGGTGAGTCCAGACGATCGCAATTTAGCAGTGTGGGCACATCGGTGGTGGTGTTCGACAGGCAGGCAAGCCTTTCCGCGGAATCATCGCGTCTGTTTCCACTTAAGTTTTTTTTCCACGATCAGCCCACAATCTGGTGTCAGTGGGCTTTAACGCCCTGTAACCTGAAGGGTTAACCCTTCAAGTTCATCCCCTCGAAAGCTCCCAGCCCCTTCTCTCCCGCACAGACTTTAGCCTAGCTCTAGCCCAGCCCTCCAATCCCCAGAATGGAGGTTGGCCAAGGGCTAGGCTAGGGTTCCATACGGGAGGGAATACCCACCCCATACCCTACGAAAGTTTTCCCACCCGTTCCTTGCTCTCGCCTCTCCTATCTCTGCCCTGAAAAAGTCCCTTCCTCCCACAACCAAACCAGCCACCAGCCACGCACGACCCTCACTTCTCCACTTCTCCAATATTTTTCTATTCGCTTGAGTTACCCAGGTTCCCATGCCATCCCTATGTAAAATTTTAGACCCTGCCCACGATGAAGATGGTGGAAGGAGGGGTTGCAACATCGCCATAACGACCCCTCCTTCCGACCTCGGGAGGCGCTGCTTCCGATCTCGTGGGTGGGGGGGTAGCCTAGGGAAAGTTACTTTGAAAACTCTTCCTAGCTCTAGCCTAAGGGCATGTAAATTGTAACGCCCAAACCAGATGATCGATCATTTGCACGTTTCAGGCGAGTGCGAAATGTGACGCTTAAGCGAACCCCGCCTTAAATTTCGTCAGCATTTGGGGCACCCACCCTTAACCACCCCCTTAATCAAACGCGAAATTGTTTGTCCCTTTGCTGTATTTGAACGGGATAGGAAATAACGAGGACACTGACGAACATTTAGCGCGCTTTACAAAGCAAAGGGTTTATGTAAGCATTTTTTTGTTCTCCCAGCTCAGAATTAGTCAAGGTATGTCCCACAATGCGGTACGTAGAGTTCGAGGCAGAAAATACCATTAAAATTTGGTCAAATCGGGGTGACTAATTAAATCGGCGTAACCCTAATACCTCGCAATCGCCAGAAACGCGCAAATGTTCGACCATTGCCTTTGGTCTTTACAATTTTACACGCCCTAACCCTAGCTCTCAAAGGAGGTGCCTGCCTGTCGAACAGGGCCGGTGTGCTGATCGATGTGCCCACATCGGTGTGAGGCTTTGATCCTTCCCCGATCCTGGCCAATTCCCTAAAGGTGCCGCGTCCTAAGGACGCGGCACCTCAAGCAATTTTGCACGATCGATCGCAGGATCGCTAATTCAACCGTACTAAAATTCTGCTAAAAGAATTCAGATCTTTCGGAACCATTTTAAAATCCTGAAACATTCTAACCTCCGCACGATCGATCGCAGGATCGGTGCTAGAGGTGCTGCGTCCTAAACCGGCGTGAGACCCCGATCCCCCCCACCATCCTGACAATTTCTCTAGAGGTGCCATGTCAGGTCGGAGCTAGGGCTACCGATCAGGGCCAAGAAGTAATTCAAACACAGCAGTTTTCTTGGATTCAGGTCATATTGCGTCCTGTCTGTCATTCTGCCCCTCGTTCTCTCCGTGATTCTCTCCTCGTCCTGCCGTCCTTTTCCCTGAATCATCCGTTTTCCAAGAATGCCATTCTGAAGGAGATAGTAGCTCCCGCGAGCTAAAAAAACGCATCGTCACCCGCGGTCTGTATTCAACGCGGCATTCCCAGATTTGCGGCGACCACCTTCGAATGTGTGCGTATCAAAAGCGCGGAGCTTACCAACCAATGCTATGTGAGCTTGGTATCACTCAGCGCCACCGCTAGCGGTGCAGCCTTCACTGCTCCTGTCAAGCCCTGACGGTGTAATGGAAGGAGAGCGACCGCCACTGTCAACAAACCCTGACGGTGTAATGGAGGGAGAGCAACCGCCGCTTCGGCCTCACGCCGGGATGCGGGAAGAGCAATCTCCGGCGACTGCGACTGCTTTTCAGGCCCCCGCGACCGGCGCTCAGGCCATTCCGACCGACTGCGGCGCCGCGCGCTGTGAGTCGCCTCAGAACACTCCTGCGGAGAGATCCCCGCCGGCGGCGGCGGCGGCGGCGGCTGCTAGTACTCAAGTTCAGCAAGCGTCCGGCGCTCAGGCCCTTCCGCCGAGGGACTGCAGCACGCCGCATTGCGACTCGGAGTCGACTCAAAACACACCTGCTGAGCGATCGCCACCGGCGGCGGCGAGTTCTACTCAAGTTCGGCAAGCGTCCGGCGCTCAGGCCCTTCCCAGCGACTGCATCGCGCGAATCCTCTGCCTTCTAACGAACGCCGCGCACGTGGCACGAGCAGGCGCCACGTGTCGCTCGTGGTGGCGCTGCTACAGGGTCGTCGTTCGTCCGTCAGCCTGCCACGTGTCACTCGCGCTGAACCCGCTTTCGCTGGAGTGGGAGCCATTGCTCAGACAGTCTCTATTGACGCAGTCGTCTGCATCGCGCGAATCCTCTGCCATTGCGCAGTCGCTGCTGCGGCTGCCTTTCCGCCAGTTCCGAAATGCTCGTCCAGATTCAATGAATCAGCGGGTGGATTCCACCGGTTCTGCTGCGGCAGAGGGAGGATTCGATTCGTATAGGGATGGTCGGGACGCGCGCCGTTGCTTGAATGAGCTTCAAACGTCGCTTTCATCGTTCATACCAGCTAAAGCCGACATCTCGTCGGATGCTGCGGCTGCTCATAACGAAGCATCACCTTCTCTGCTTTCCCTGGATGCGCCTGGCGGCAGATTGGACTCGTTTGCTTCACGCTCCTTGGCGTTATCCTCGTTACAAGACGTGCTTCGACTCGATACGCCTCTGAGTCCCAGATATTGGCCTCTGAACCGTGTTGCCTCATTGCTGCGAAGCTTCCCAGAGCTCACATCCCTCCACCTCCCGTTTCTGTCACATCTCGGCGCTGGCCCCTCCTTGGGGGAGGGCACTTACGCCGGATGTGACTATATCGATGCCATCTGCCATATTGTTGCCCCCTGCTGCCCGTCCCTTCGCCATTGTCACATCGAGTTCGGTCGGCAGGTGGAAGGCGACAGAAAGAGCCGATGGCACCCATTACAGGTCACAGGCACGCGCTCCCAACATCCTGATACAGTCACTCTCCCCTCCAATCACAGCGACCGAATCTCCAATGCCGCTGCCGAGAACGATCAAACCCCGACTGACAACATCGGAGATTCAGAGAGGACAGGCAATTCCAATCAATCAACTGGCAACACCCAAAACCCAGAATTCATTCAGATTCATTTCACGGTCTCATGCTATTGCTCCAACGATGCTCACACCTCACTTCCCTCCACATCCTCAGCTCCAACTATTCCTCCACCTCCTCCTCCTCTTCGTCCTCCTCCACCTCATCCTCCTCCTCCTTACCCTGCCTCGACTTCGCTCCGTCCCTCGACCTCCCCCCTCCCCACAACGACTCCCCCACTACCATTCACCTCCCTCTGACCATCATCCCTCTCTTCTCCCGTCTCTCCCACCTCTCACTCTCACTCAAAACCATCCCTCCCTCCCTCCTCCCCTCCGTCCCGTCTCTCAAATCCCTCACCCTCCACGTGTCAGATCCTGCTTGCACCGTCACCTGCTCCTCCGCCCCATTCAGTCACCTCTCGTTACTGTCACATCTGGAGCTGCAAATGGGCTCTGATTGGGCGAAAGCCTACCCAGTCCCCAGGCTCTACGACAACATGTTTTCCGGGCTTCGAGACACTCTCACCTCCCTCACTCTCACCCTCCCGTTTATGGCACACCTTCCACTTTCGATATGGGAACTAACTGCTCTCCGCTCTCTTTCCATTCGCAACCCGGCCTTTCACCCGGGCGTGCAGAGGCATGCTTATGAGGCAGGCGTGTCCGGGTTGCGGCATTTGTCCTGTCTGCAGCTGCTGGGTCACCCGGTGCCCGGACTGATGATGGCGGCACTTGGTGAAACCCACCCGGAGACAACAGGAAGGGATGGGGTAGAGCAACAGCAGCATCAGCTGCAGGAGGAACAGCTAGGGATTGGTGGGAACGAGCAGCAGCAGCAGCAGCGGGGTGGGCAGGGAGGTGAGGAGGCGAGCAGAACCCAGCAGCTGGAGCAGCTGCGCATGTCCCGAGGCACCGTGGCAATGCTGAACGCACACCAACTCGTTGGCCCTGCTGCTCATCCTGCTGCTCCTGCTACTCCTGCTACTCCTGCTACTCCTGCTGCTCCTGCTGCTCCTGCTGCTCTTGCTGCCAATGCTGCATCTACTGCCCCTTTCGCCCCTGCAGCAGGTGAGGGGGCGGGCGAGGGGAGGCGGATTGCGGAACTGGAGGTGGATGGAGACTTGCTAGTAGCAGCAATGAGAAGTGGTGCTTCCCTGCCTCCCTCCCTCACCGTCCTCTCTGTCACCCCGTCCCCAGCTGTCGCTCCCTCCTTCCTCCCCCAACCTGTCCGCCTGGACCTTCCTGCCCTCGCATCGGCCAGCCTCAGGGTGCTTAAGCTCTCTGGTGTTTACATAAGTGCCAGGAGTGGTTCTGCTCTTGGGAATGACAGCTGCTCCTGCTTCTTTCCTGACTTGATGCTTCTGGAGGTGAGGGATGTGCGAACGTGGCGTGGAAAGCACCTGATGGGGTCTCTTGTGCGAAACTTTCGCCATGAGCTGTTGCTGCACTGTCCGAACCTCCAGGTCTTGTATTTGGATTCGCTTCCACGCTCTTCCCCTCTTCCCGTTCTGCCCAAGCTCCAAGTGCTGGTTATTGGCATGTACGTCAACTCGGGAGCTTCTCTCGCTTCCCTCTCGCAGTTTCTTTCGCTGCACACCCTCCGCTTCAATGGCATTTTCAGCTATGTTGGGATGATTGACGGAACGGTGTCGTGCCCCCCGAACCTCCGAAGGCTGCAGATCTGCGCAAAAGATTTAACATGCCTGCCACGTTTCATTTGGAGATTCACGTCGATCAATCAGCTGGATATCATGAATTGCGCTACGCTGAAGTTGCTGTTTAAAAGTCTGTACTCGTTGTTTCCTTCCCTGAAGTGCTTGAGAGTGGATGGTGGTGGCATTTAGAAGTATTTTCCTGTGTGTAATAACATGTAAAGAGTATAACCTTTTGGATTTGTTCTTATGCTGGGGAATTGAAGTACGCGCCAAGAAGCAGGAGGCGAAGTGAATGTTCAAATTTTCTGACACATCGCTGCATCCAGCAAATCATGAACAGTGTCAGCCACAAGGTCTCGCGAGCAGGCGACTTCGTCGCCCATCTGACGGCGAAGCGACACGGATCCACCCAAATCATGTTTGGGAGCGGCGAAACATTAAACCGCTCTAGAACGCACAATATTGCTGTCAACCGTTTCATTGAAGGGAATTGAACAAGCGTGACATGCCCTCATTTCTAGCTTCATGGTTTCCCCACCCAGGTCATCCATGAATGGATGGATTCACCATCACGTTGTTCTGCAGCAGGCATGATTTTTGCTTGCCTCGCTCCCTAGTTCTGCTGGTATCAGTTCCCCCCACCCCCACCATCGCCTGACACCATTTCGAAGCGCATTGCTGATTTCTGATTCCTTGATTGCCTCGCTCTTTGAATCAGCTAACTCCACGTGACCATCTTCAGCATTTCCTAGATTTCCCTACATCATTAGCATCATCGGCACCATCATGTTAGAGCCTTTTTACAAATCCCTTGAGCTGACCTATAATGTTCGTCGAGTCTGGAGGGAAGTGTTGCTAGCAGACCGAAGTTTGTTTCTCTAGATTAAGCACTTCCTTCTCGCGTTGACAATGCTCCGGTGAGAAACTCGTAAGCTTATTTTAGGGAACCGTTTTCAATCCGAGCGTTACCACATTCGGATTCATAGCTTCCTTGACTGCTTCGTCGATTCATAGCTTTCCGTGTTTGGGGGAACTGTAACTCGCGTGCAGAACGGTAACGCGGGTGACGCCATGGATTGCGTTGACAGCCAGCAACCAATCGGAATTATGAACAAACTTAGTGAAGCTAAGAATGAGAGCAGAGAGGAGGAAGAACGCGAAGCGCGTTTCGAGCGAGAGCTGGAGGAGCTGATGAAGGCTCTGGAAGAGGTGGTATTGTCGAAAACGACTGACGAAAATCCTGGCGACGAGTTACCGCGTAACGAAGGTGACAGCGACGATTTTCCGTCTATGCAAACCCCCCCTCCAGCAGCAGCAGCAGCACAGAGACCCAGCAGATCTCTGAAGCAGGGACGTACGGAAACGGAAAAGAGTAATGACAATATACAAGGCAGCAGTCCGGCTAGTGTACTGGTAGGTGTAGCTAACTCGCCTTCGCCTTCTACTGAATCTCCTGTTAACGAAAGTCCTTCGGATTCCTGTCGCCCGCCTTACACTGCAACGGGTCACGCGGCGACTTCAGGGGATGTTATCTCCGGGTCGAGCGGAAGGGCTCCGAAGTCCCAGGCTTTGTTACCCGAGGCGGCGCGAGTCGCGCGCGCGAAGCAGCGCGAGAAAGCGGTGGTGAAGAACCAATCGCTGGGCCACGCAGATGCGGGACGTGCCAACTGGCACGCGTTCATTGGACGGAATAACCCGGTGTCAGAAAATGTCGCTGTTGCCTCGGGAACGTCGTCCGCCTTGCCGTCCGGCGAGGATGACGGTGTTTTTGCCAGCAAGCTGCCGGCTAACCGTTCAGAATGTCTGGACGGTTCTCCGGGCAAAGGCAATCTGGATGATGGTCCCCGAGGAGGAATCTTTGGGAAGAAGATCTCGTTCGGATTGAAGAAACCTGCTCGGGCCGGTGTTGTTGGTGGTGGCAGCGGCGGTGCTGGTGGTGCTGCTGGTGGTGGTGGTAGCGGTGCCGGTGGTATGGGGGTCGCTGCTGCTACTGGTGCTGCTGCTGGTACGGCTCCCCGTCGCCACACGGCAATTTCGTCACTGGAGATGCAGAAGCGAATAACGGAGCAGCTCTTTGGCGGGGATGACGAGGACTCGGATTCTGAAGAGTCGTCTGGGTCCAGCGCTAATTACCCGTCTGGTTACCACAACATGTTCGCGCCTAGTATTCTGGGGTCTCCTGCGAAGAGCAGAAGTGGAAGCAACGTCAGCAGCAGCGGGAGCTGCACCAGCAGTAGCGCCACCTCAGCAGCGCCACGAGTAGCGCAATCAGCAGCAGCAGCAGCAGCAGCCGGAACAGCAGCTTCAGCTGCAGCAGCTGCCGCATCCGCTGCTGCAGCAGAGGCAAGGCTAGGACGCTCAATCAACAGGCTATGTTCCAACACATGCTCTCCAGCTGGTAAAACAATTGCTGGTGCTCCTGCTGCTGTTACATTGCAACATCATCTGCTGCAGTGTTGCCCTCGTCTTCTCCTCAGGGCAAAGCGACCCCCCCTACTTCCCCGCTTCCTCCGCCTCCCCCTCTAACCAATGAAGAAGCCGCGTTCTCTCCGCTTCCTCCGCTCCCCCCAGGCCCCCCTCCGGAAACCCCCCTTCCGCCTCCCCTTCCGCCTCCTTCTCCCCTCTCCAGCCTTCCCGCCTATGGGGGGAGCAACTTCCGCCCATCCCACTTTGAGAGTGCTCCCCTTGCCGCAGTTCCTCCCCTTCCGCCTGGGCCTCCGCCCATGACTCCTCCGCCCCCTCCCCCGATCGGAGTGTCCTTGGAGGAGCGATTAGCACCTGGGGGAAGCCGGACTGCGCCTCCACCACTGCTCCCAGTCCCCCCAGTTCCCTTGGTTCCCCCGCCTCCCCCAGGTCCCCCTCCCGCCACTCCCCCTCCCCCAGCTTCACCTCCCCCGGACCCAGCCTCATCCTCGCTTTGTGCCCCTCTCATTCCATTTATTCCACCCCTTCCACCCCTTCTCTCCGCCCCTGCATCCAATGCTGCTGCATCCGCTACTGCTGCTACTGCTGCTGCTGCTGCTGCTGCTGCCGCTGCTGGTGCTGCTACTGCTACAGCTTCCAGCGATGCATCTGGCTGCTACAGCCACAACAGCGTCTCCGGCTCTGAAGCAGTCTGCTACAGCCAGAGCAGTGTTTCCGGCTCTGACGGTTTGACCTGCTTGTGGAACGCAGGGTACTCGAGTGCTGGTGATGATGACTGTACGGATAGTGCCAATAGCGGGAGTATGAGCCAGGGGCGGCCCGAGAATTGCAGTTATCCTGCAAGTGGAGAGGTACGGCTGGAGGTGAAGCAGACGCAGTATGCGTGGCAGGATCAACAGCAAACGAATCAGTCGCACTTGCAGAAGCAACAGCAGCAGCAGCAGGTTCAGCAATACCACGAGCAGCAACAGCAGCACCAGCACTATCACCAACAGCCGCAGCATCTGCAGCAGCAAGAGCACAGTCACGAGCACAGCCAGTTCCAGGCAGTTGAGGAGCAGAAGAGGGACGGGTACAGTTACCATGAAGGCAGTTGTCAGGAGTACGAGCAGAGCGAGGAGTACAGAAAATGGCTGGCTTACCACCAACAGCGCCAGCAGGAACAGCAGCAGGAACAGCAGCAACCGCTGCTGCAGCAGCAGCAGCAGCACTGTGAAAGCGTGGAACAGCAGAGGTACTATGAGTACGAGCAGAGCGAGGAGTATCGGAAGTGGTTGGCTTACCACCAACAGCTTCAGGCGTACCAGCAGCAGCCGCAGACATACCAGCAGGAGCTACAGCAGAAGCAGCAGGTGTACGATCAGGGGCAGCAGCAGCTGCAGCAGCAACATCAGCAGCCGCAGCCGTACCAGCAGCAACTCCAGCAGTCATATCAGCAGCATCAACAGCAGCCGTACCAGCACCGGCAGCAGCAGTCGTACCCGCAGCAATCAGTCACACATCACCCTCACACTGTATCTTCACTAACCCATCCACATGCTACGCACGCACCTTACAGTGCACAACACACCGGTCCAAACACCCTGCATACGGTTACCAATGCTGCAGACCACACTGTACCCGCGGTTACAAGCGCCTCCCACGTGGTAACCACGTGGTACCTGGTGGTGGACACGAACGTGTTCCTGGACGTGGCTGAGGTGGCAGCGCTCTATAGGCTCATTGCGTGGGGGCTCCGGAACACAGAGAGAGGGTTCGGACAAACTGAAGGGGTCAGTTGGACAGAAGGGGTGGGGCACACAGAAGCACAGAGTGCAGGTCTGGCTGGTGGTTCTGCCACTGTCACTGCTCCTGGTGTTCTGCCAGCTCCAGCTGCTTCTGCTTTTGCTTCTGCTTCTGCTGCTGCTGCTGCCGCTGCTGCCGGTGCTGCTGCTGCCGCTGCGCCTGGTGCCACTGTTGTTGGTGCCGCTGCTGCAGCAGTGGTGGCATCCATTCAAGCTGCTGCGGCCGTGGCTGCTGCAGGGAGCAACTGGGCTGGGCTGCTGGGGAGCGTGGCGGACAGCTTTCCCCGCAATGAGCGGGTGGTGGTGGTGCTCCCGCATGCAGGTGAGAGAGAGGGGATGAGAATGGAATTGGGAAGGCAGGTAAATGGGTGGGAATGCTATGCGTCTAGGGAGTGTGGCGGATAGCTTCCCCAGCAGAGGGAGGGTGGTGGTGGTGCTCCCTCACACAGGTGAGTGAGTGAGAGAGGGGACGGGAGTGGGAATGCAGATATGAAGGTATAAGTGGGTGGGGAGGTGAGGCTGCTGGGGAGCGTGGCGGACAGCTTTCCACGGAACGAGAGGGTGGTGGTGCTGCTGCTCCTGCATCCTCCCTCGTTTTCCTTGGCAGGCACTTATGGAAGGAGTGACCATGGTTCACAAAGCATCTGCTTTTGTGGCTGAGCGTGTGGGATTTGCTCTAGCTGCTGCAAAGTGATTGAATCAAGCTTGAAGATTGTACCCGTATCTTATTCTCCAATTGCTTCCATTTTCCATCATGACTAGTTGTTTAGATGGTCTTCAATCGTTTGTATGGTTGCTATCGGCATTTGTTGAGTTTCGCGAAAAATGGTGCCACTCACTTGATTTTGGAAGCAGTGTTACTAATGTTAAAGGTTTCCAGTTGGTGAAGTGGTGAAGTCTGAAATTAAAATGGAATTGCGTCTGATGTTTACAAGCATATAACGTGGAATACATTAGGAAACGGCATCCGTTTCCGTAACGCGTACGCCTGATACACTAGCTTCGGGCTCAAGCCTCGCATGTCCCTGCTCCAACCAAGCTCTCAGATTTTCTTCTGCTTCACATCCACGCACCAAGATTTCAAGTTCAACTTTCGCATTCCTTTTGATGCACTGATCCTGTACTCAATAGCAGTCTCAAGGATTGTTCCCTTCCGCTGCATTCTCTTTCCATCATCCCGTATACTCGTTAGGGATTTTATGCAACTTGCAGATGGTGAAGCGAAGGCGTGGAGGTGGATGGGGAGGGCTAGAACGCGTGAGCTCGTTGAAAGATGTACGTACCACTTGAATCCTCCACCCAGTTTTTGTCTTAGCGAGGTCTCTGTAGTAACTTTACCGATGTGAACAGAAATTGCCGCTTCCTCGTCAAGGGCCAATACGGAGCTTTATCTCCTCGCGGAATGTCTCTGGAGTAGTAGTCAAGCCCTCGTACAATGTGGATGGTGCGAACAAGACAGTTGAACAAGGCACCACGTTCCGATTTCAGAAGCGTAGCTTGGAAAAGCACACGCCATTGCGAATGCCAAAGCCAGCAGGTGTGGGATATTTCACAAGTGTACGTATTTTACCAGCTGTTGCGATGGAGTTTTTTTTGTTGGTTTTTTTTCTCTGATTGAGTGTTGTATAGATACGTCGCGCGAGGGATGTTCTTTATTGGACGTCAGGCTCGGGAACAACCAGAACGAAAATAGGTCAGGAGGCCGCGGTTGTGATCAATCTCAGATACACTGTAATACCGTACTAATGATGTAGTGCGATGCAGGGTGCATCCGAGAGATAACCAGTGTATCACAACCTCGTAAGCTACCTTCTTGTTATCTTTATCCTCCTGCATCTGTTGTTGACCATATTCTGTGTGACATACAGAAGTCGTCATCACCATCAAGAACCACACTGCGCCTCCCAGCTCCAAGATTCGTGCTACTGAGAAGCAGCGTAAGTCCCTTTTCTGTTTTCTGCTGTCGGTTTACATTGTTTGTTAATTTAACTGAGCTTCATGCCAAAGGTCCAAAAGAGGAGGACGAGTGGGACTGGAACTTCGGTTGTGAGGAACCAAAATCACCCGCTGCGGTCGAATCTGGAGATGCAGAGGAAGACGCGATATTGCTGGGTATGTCCTTAGATGATCGCAGATGGCTTGGTTTGAAACCACCAAACACTTGATGATGGTACAGTTTCCATCTGTTTTCAGGTCACCGTCGCGACTACAAGTCTTTCTCCTTTTCCCCGGTCAAAGAGAGTTTGAAGGCCGTTGCGAAAAGAGTCCTGGATGTGGACGCCATCTCAGCTCAGAGGGGTGAAAGGTCTGTCAGTGCATATTTATGCAAATGTAGTTTTTGCTACTTGCTCATTGAGCATGACTTTGTTTTGCTGCAGTAAAACAGCAGCCGATGAGCTTTTAAGCAAGCTCAATATCTCGCCTTCTCCAGAACTCATTGCGATGCTTCCATCGGGCGGAAAGGTGAGGCTGCTCATGTTAAGAGTTTTTGCAGGAGCGTGACTGAGACAGTGGTGGTTACAGGTTAATAAGGATCTCACTTCAAGCCCGAGACAAGCATCGCGGAATGAACAACCACGACATACGATTCCTCTTGCGAATGTAGACATGGAGGATTTCGGGGTACATGACTGGCTCTTCGGGTCTGAAGAGGCACACCGGGATGTCTCTGAAGTCATGTTTGGCAGTGTCCGAAGCATTCCTGAAGCAGAAAGCTCCCTTGGAGCTGATGCATTTCTTGGAGAGGAAAGTCTTATCGAGTGTGGAACATCAATGTTTGCAAAAGGTTTCGAAGCTAGAGGCTGTTTCGATGAAGACTCATTCGAAGAAGCGTTTCCTGGTAGCAGAACTTCTCCAGAAGCAACGGCCTTGCCTCCAGATCCTTTTCTCTCAAGATCCCTCTCTCCAGAACCATTTTCCCCAGGGCCAGGCTCATTAGCTCCATTCTGGAATTGCAGCCCTTCAGCAACAGATATTGATGTAGGTCTTCAGGCACACAACAGCAGTCCATCTGTGAGTGGCCTTTTCGACAGTGCTGCTGTTGCAAGAGGAAATCCCTTCGAGAGTGCTGACACGAATTGGAAGGGAGATAGGGCTGAGGCAGATGATATAATTTGTGCAAGTGAGTTCGGAGGCCCCAGTTACAGCCCCGCTGATAGCCTATTTGATACACCCTATTTCATGTCATGAAGTACATTCTGTATAGCTTAGTGGATGAAGCCATAAGGCCTGGTAGATTCAGGAGTGTCTTGTATGATTTTCTGTGCAGTAACTTGGTACAAAACGTTATTTACCGGTACTACGAGTTACGAAGTCCGTTCTTGATGAAGTCTCTCGCTATTGAGGTTATTGCTTTTTTTAGCAGAGTTCCTGTCAGCCTGTCACTCCCTAGGGAACCCCCCCCCACCTTCTCTTCACGGCGATCATGGCTGCACGAGGAGAGATTTGCCGACACGTGGTAGCGCCAAACTGGCTCTTCTCGCGCATGGCGTGCACGAGCAGCCAATTGCAGCGCGGAGCACGCCAGAACGTGCCACCCATCTCCATCCATCATTCATCCCATCCATCATTCATCCCATCCATCAACCTCCGCGTCGCCTTTTCGCGAATTTCCGAGCCGCCTTTGAATCCCGCACCGCGCCGACCATCACGCAGGAAGGAATGTGTGAGATTTTGTTTCCAAGCACGAGCCGCGGTCCATCAAGCCATGGGGTACTGTAAATTCAAGTTGTTCCTGATCTGTCGATCAGTTGGGTCGACGTTCTTCCAGCCAGTCTTCTCGCTTCGCGACTCTCCCTAGTATTCTGCTCTCCCTGAATTTCTGCGGAGGAATCTTCGCCTTCGATTCAACGTTCGAGCCAACATGTCTCAGGAGCAGCCGAGGCGGGAGGAGATGGAGGGACAGGTCAAGGTACGCTTCTCGACTTTCTTTTACCTTCCTTTTCAACACGCGCCCATCGGGAACCCATATACCATACCCCTTTCCCCAACCAACCACGGAACCTACGGCGAAAGCTTCTACGACGGCGGAATGACGGCGAAATGGAAGCACGTGGATGATTCTAGGTGAAACGGTGGAAATCGGCCTACGGTGGAGAATGGAAGCTACGGCGTGAGAAGCAAGAGAGAAATTGGGAAGAAACTAGAGAAATGGAGGAAGAAGAGTGAAGAAGTATCGAGATTGGAGTTGACAAGGGGAAATTGTGGTTCGAGACTGAGGCGTGTTCGAGAAGGTGCTGGATTCGGACTCGAGGAGTGTTCGGCGAATTCGGTTCGGTTCCGTGTGCGACTCGGGGTGAAACGAGGCGCACGCGGTTACTTGGGAAACAAGTGAAGTTACGAATCGCATTTTGTGTCTTGCTTGACTATAAAACTGCTTGTACTCATTCTGGAAATCACAACATTGAAACCAATCAGATTCTGGAAATTGCTGAAGTGTGTATTGACAACTTCAAGCAGAGCTGCGCATATCGTTGGATTTGGGAGATCGTGGAGAACACGATAAGCAATAGCAAGTAGACTATTGCCGACTAAGGTGTTTACGATCCTAAGAGAACCCATATACCATACCCCTTTCCCCCCCGCCGTCTGCTATTCCCTCCCTTTTTCTGCTCTCCTCTCCCTTTCTGCTTTTACAGCAGGAGCAGTTTTCAACGGAGCCCACGCAGGCAGCAGCAATTGGCGCTCCCGGCTACGCAGCAGGAGGAACAGCTGTCTCTGCACCCGGTTACGCTGGCGGCGGTTACGTGGCAACGGCAACAGGCCCAGGCTTCACCTGCACGGCCCAGGAATTCCCCACTGCAGGGGGAGGCGCGACGGGAGTGGCTGCTGTGACTGATACCGAGGGGAGGACGATTTACTACTCCACTACCATGCAGCCCATGGGTGTGACTGGCCCGGGTGTGACTGAAACGGGTGTGACTGCTACGGGTGTGCCTGCAATGGGTGGTGGTGGTGCTATGGGTGGTGGTACTGCCACTGGTGTGCCGGCAGCAGCAGGTGGGATGGGGCAGATGGGGAAGGGGACGGATATGAGTGCTATGGGGGCTGGGATTGGGGGGGAGAGTCTGGGAACAACTGGGATGGGGGGAGGGGGAACGGCTGGGGGGGAAGCAGGGGGGATGGGGGGAGGGATGGGCGCAACGGGGGGAGGGGATACTGAGATGATGGGAGGAGATGTGGGGGGGGAGAGCATTGGCGCAAGGGGGAGTGCTGAGCCTACTGGTGGGGAGAAGAGCCCAGCTACTGGTGCTACGGCTGAGGCGGGAATGGTGAGGGATGCTGGGAGTGAGGTGACTGCTGGGGGTCAAGTGACTTCAGCGGGTGATATCTCCAAGGCGAAGGAGGCTGGTGCTGCTGCTGCTGGAGGGAAGACGGGAGGGGCTGAGACCGGTGGAGAGGGATTTATGGGTCGGGAGTCCGAGGCCAAGGCTATGGAAGGGGAAGGAGGAATTGGTTCGGCCTAAGGCAAATGTGAATATCAATATGCCTGCAACGCAGTAGCCTTGATTGTGTACTACTCATCAAAGCCCATCGGTTGGCTTTTTCTTCCATTAGAATGTGCTGTTTCTTCTGCTGTTAGCTTTTGTACAGTTCCTGTTCTTTTGTTCATCTGTAAAACATTGTACAGCTTTGTTTGTATAACTAGTCAGTAGTACTGCAAAGATGGTTCTCAGCTCCAGATTGTTTCATTCTTTCTGTAGAGCAGTTTTTACCCACACCTGGAACGGAACACTGATACTACTACTCCAGATTGACACCAATACCCACGACAAACCTGCACAGCATACAAATCTAAACCTAACAAATCATGCCATGTCACATCATAACCATAGCTCACGGTCATCTCGCAGCTGCAGCTGCAGCTGCGCATGCCTTGATGAGAGGCTCAGCACCAGACTGATGAACAGCCTCACACCTACCTAACCGCTCATAGACCGGCCATATCATGTCATCACATTATCTCGCAGCAGCACTAGCCTTGACCAGAGCCTCTGCACTGGACACCTCGGATGCACAGAGAATCAAACTGCCTCACGCCCAACCAATCATGTCATGACATTATCTTGCTCACACGCCTTGATCAGAGCCTCTGCACTAGACACCTCGGATGCATAGAGAATCAAACTGCCTCACGCCTAACCAATCATGTCATGACATTATCTTGCAGCAGCACACGCCTTGATCAGAGCTTCTGCACTGGACACCTGGCACGGAGGAAAGGTGGAGAATGGATAGGGGATGCACAGAAGATCACATAATGGGACTCAACTGAGACAACTGGACACAACGCATGGGATGCGACATGGGAAGTTAGGACGGAAGGCATCAAGGTATTTTGAGGGCCTCAGCACATGGAGAGTGGAGATGCGTGCTGAACAGTGGAAGGAATGGAGAGGAAAGGGAGAGGACTAGAGACGAATGGGTAAGAGTGGAGAAGAATGGGGAGGACTGGGGAGGAGTGGAGATGAGTGGAGGATTGGAGAGGACTGAGTGGAGTAGGATGATTGGAGAACAATGGAGTGAAAGCGAACGGACGAGGGAAGAACAGGCCAAGAAATAAATGAATAAAAGGAAAAAAAACGGGGAGGAGGGAGAAAGGGGAGGGGGACGGGGGGGAAGACGAAGTGAGACAATTGGAAAATGAAGGGTTTTAATGGCAGTGTGCATGCACCAGCGAGCCTACCAGAGTCGAATCTGAGTCATCTTCACAATCTCGTCTGTGGTTGTTTTTTTCAAAGGACTCCTCATCATAAAGACTTCTCCTAGAAACCTGCATGTGGCTTTAAGCCTACCTGCGTTGGGTTGCCAGAAATCTCGACAATCCTGTCCGTGCTACCTTTTGAGGCGCCTCAAAAGTACTTTTAGCCTACCCAATTAGCGGCCTACCCAAGTAGCAGCCTACCCAATTAGCGGCCTACCCAAGTAGCAGCCTACCCAATTAGCGGCCTACCTGCATTGGGTTGCCAGAAATCTCGACAATCCTGTCCGTGTTGCCTGCTTCCGGGGGCTGGATCTGCCATTGCGGACACAGGAACAGAAAAAGAAGAAGACAAAAGCAACAAGATCTAAACAATCAAGGCTTAGTCAGACTCTGAAGAGTTCTCGACAGTTAGATTGGAATATGATTGAACCCACCTTGAACCTATTCTCTCTTTGTAATCTAGATTTAAAAGTTTGATACGTCAGTTATACCTGCCACATCTGCATCAATCACAACCCTGCCATGATAATCAGTAGCCGAACTCTGCCGAATGTTCTTGATGAAATGTGACGCCCGGCCTCCCCCACTTCCACAACCCCTTTCACCTTCCTCAACATGCATGCAAAGACACGCACTCTCACAATCCTACCATGATAATCAGCCGCAGGATTCTGCTCAATGCCCTTGATCAACTGTGAGCCGCAGGATTCCTACCTTGATCAGCAGCCCTCCCCTCTTTTCCCCAACCCCCGTCCTCAGCCCCCATCCCATTCCTCAACTTTAATGCAATGCAAAGAAGCAGAGTTTCACGCCCTTACCTTGATGTTGGCACCAGACATCTGCTGAGTGTTCTTGATCAACTGTTATGCGGCCTTCCCCCGCCTTTCCCCACCATACACACACTCACGGCCTCACCTTGATGTTGGCACCAGACATCTGCCGAATGTTCTTGATCGTGTTCCCACCCTTCCCCACTTCCACACAGCCCCTTTCCCCTCCTCAACATGGATGCAAAAGACATCCACACACAAACACAATCACAGCCTCACCTTGATGTTGGCACCAGACATCTGCCGAATGTTCTTGATCGTGTTCCCACCCTTCCCCAGCACCGACCCTATCGCCTGCCCCGGCAACCGAAGCTCAATCCGAGCCTGCCCCTGGCCCTGGCCGTGACCATGAGGCTCGGATGCCTCTGTTTTGACAAAGGGACGATCCTGCACCCTCCTGCGCTCTGAATGGAGTGAATGACGGGACATGACGTGAAATAGAATTGAAATGTGGGATTGACTAATGAACTCGTGCTGTCCTCAGTAATGTGAAAACAGAGACCGACAGCAAAATGAAACTGGGACAATCCTGCACCCTCCTGCGCTATGAATGGAGTGAATGAAGGGACACGGAATAAGGAGGATTTATAAAAGACGGCCAGGAATGGTGTGTGTGTGTGTGTGTGTGTGTGTGTGTGTGTGTGTGTGTGTGTGTGTGTGTTTTCTTCTTGTTTTTTTAGAATTGTGAGAATGGAGATGGCAATGGGGTAGTGAGATGATCCTGCACCCTCATGCGCTCTGAATGGAGAGAATGAAGGGAAATGAAAGGTGGAAATTTCCAATTAACTCGTGCTGTCCTCAGGAGTGTGAGAACAGTGATGGCAAATGGTACTGGCTGGGACGATCCTGCACCCTGAAGGGGCGCGGAATGAGGGGAATTTTTCAGGGACGGCCAGGAATGGTGCCCTTTTCAGAATCGCGAGAACGGAGACGGCAATGGGGAGTGGTATGATCCTGCACGCGCGTCCGCTCTGAACGGAGTGAATGAAGGGAAATGACATGAAATGTGGGGTTTTTTTTTTTTTTTTTTTCTGAACTTGTGCTTTCCTTAGTAATGGGAAAACGGAGATTGCAAAATGACACTGGGACGACCCTGCCCTGCACCCCTCTCTGCTTAGAATGGGGTGTCGTAGCCAAATGAGATAATGGAGAGACGCAGAATGGTGGTATGGGAACAGAGTGGTGTGCTGTGAGACTTGTCGAATGTTGGTAACAGAGTGTTGGTGTGAATTTCGAGAATTCTCAAAAGCAACACCAACAAAGCTACTTGTCGGACGGTGGAAATGGAGTGAACGCACAAACGGGAAATGCCAAGGTGGGGAAACAAAACCAGAAGCAATAGCGAAATTAGGGACACCGGCAGTGGCAGTGGCAGTGGCAGCGACCGCGACAGCAGCAGCGGCAGCAGCAGCGGCAGTGGCAGCGGCAGTGGCAGGGTCAGGGGAACTCACTTGAAGGATCATCAAAACCAGCACCAGGCGAAGGCTGGTAACCAGACGAGGTAGTGTAACCAGACGGAGGGTGGTAACCAGAGGCATCAACGTAACCAGCAGCACCAGAAGCAGAAGAGAAACCACTCAGAGAGCCACCACCGGCAGCACCACTCCCCATCCCCCCTATCCCCCCTCCCCCTGCTCCCCCTGCTGCTCCTCCTGCTCCTTGATAACTGGCCAGTACCGCACCCAACCCCCCTCCAATCCCCCCAAGTCCTCCCCCTCCCACACCACTCTGGTACCCCATCCCCAGGCCCCAACTCAGGTCTCCTCCTGTTGCTGCTGCTGCCCCTCCCCCTCCCCCTCCCCCTCCCCCTCCCCCCAAACCTCCTCCCCCATAGCTACTGCCCAGATCCATCCCCAAACCTCCCCCCAAGCCTGCACCCATGTATCCCGAACCTAGCGCTCCCGAGCCTAGCCCGCTCCCTCCCAACCCCAGCCCAGCATCGTACATCCCCGTTCCTCCTGCCGAACCATACGCAGGCGGAATTCCCAAGCCTCCCACCAGACCTCCTGGCGAACCATAACCTCCTGCCAAACCAGATCCCAAACCTGCAATCCCCGAACCTGGGTACCCCCCAGCTCCCGAACCTTCAAATCCCCCTCCACCCCTTCCACCTCCACCTCTCCCCCTTCCTCCTCCTCTCACCCCAGGACTTTGAAAACCTATTCCGGCTGCCGCTGCTGCTTGCTGCGCTGCTGCTGCTGCAGCGGCGGCAGCATAGGGGGTAATGGTGGCGCGTGCTGCTGCCACTGATCCTGCTGTCTCCATTTCTTCTAACGGCTCCTGGGGAGGGTTGGCCCTGAGGATGGATAGAGTGAGACAGACGCACACATGGGCTATGAGAGGGATACAGTATGCACTAGTGGCAGCTTAGGGAGTTATGGTGGCACGAGCTGCTGCCACGGACCCTGCTGTCTCCATGTCTTCTAGAGACTCCTGAGGAGGGTTAGCCCTGAGGATGGACAGAGAGAGGGACAGAGAGACAGAGAGGAAGTCACAGATGCAGGTAGGTAGGTAGGCCCAAGCGCATGCTATGTCAGCACGAGTGTTGGACTGCTGCTGCAGCGCTTTTGAGTCGACTCAAAAGGTAAACCCAAGCGCATGCGATGTCAGCACAAGTGTTGGACTGCAGCGGCGGGATGCAGGTAGGTAGGTGCGCGCAAGCAAGCATATGCTATGTGCGAGGACAAGCGTTGGCATGCTAAGAGCACCTTCGGCACGGCTTTCAATGCCTGCACAAATAGCAGAAGAGAAACTCACTTGAAAATGTTCGCATCGCATTTTTTTGAGTCGACTCAAAAGTCTGCTGTCAATTGACAAATAGAATAAGAGAAACTCACGTGAGCACGTTGGCAATCGCCTTGAGTGCTGCCTCCAGCTTCGGGGCTGTTGCAGTGATCTGATGCGGTGGTGGAGTGGGGTGGGGCGGGGCCGGATGGGGTGGGGTGGGGTTAAGGTGCAGTGCAGCGGCAGGGCGACGGGGCACACCCCTCTGTCTGCAATACACACAAGCATCCCACTGGACTCACGAATGCCCTTCATCACCCTGCCCATCCCACCGCACCCCACCCCACAGCACCTGCACGAGCCGATCTGCTGAGTCTGTTTTTTTAGAATTCTAGAAAAAAGGCCGATCTGCTGGTGGTGCAAACGGAGAGATGGCCCCCTCAACGAGGCGCACAAACATATAGAGAGGGAGTTATTGAGACGTCTCAAAAACACTTTGAGGCGCCTCAAAATGCACCTCACTACACGCGGATTTTGAGGCGCCTCAAAATGCACCTCACTACACGCGGATTTTGAGGCGCCTCAAAATGCACCTCACTACACGCGGATTTTGAGGCGCCTCAAAATGCACCTCACTACACGCGGATTTTGAGGCGCCTCAAAATGCACCTCACTACACGCGGATTTTGAGGCGCCTCAAAATGCACCTCACTACACGCGGATTTTGAGGCGCCTCAACATGCACCTCACTACACGCGGATTTTGAGGCGCCTCAAAATGCACCTCACTACACGCGGATTTTGAGGCGCCTCAAAATGCACCTCACTACACGCAGAGAGATGGCCCCCTCAACGAGGCGCACAAACATATAGAGAGGGAGTTATTGAGACGGCTCAAAAACACTTTGAGGCGCCTCAAAAAACACCCTCTGGACTCACGAATGCCCTTCATCCCCCTGCCCCCCCCCACCCACGACACCGGCTGCTATCAGTTGAAGTCACAACATCCTCCCCTCTCCTCCCCTCCCTCCCCCCATCCCCGTGCTCACCTGCACGAACCTGTCTCTCCGCGATCGGGACAAACGCCCCGCTGGACTCGCGAACGCCCTTCATCCCCTGCCCCCCTCACCCCACCCACGCCAACCCTTGCACACCTGTACTAGTCTGTCTGCCGGCAGGGCGAACGGAGACGGAGGCCCCTCAGTGATGCGCACAAACGCCCCGCTGGACTCGCAGATGTCCTTCATCACCCGGCCTTCCCTATCCATGACACCTGCTGCTCGCAGTCACACCCTCCCCCCTTCCCTTCCCCAACTGCTCATCTGCACGAGCCTGTCTGCCGGCAGGGCGAAGGGAGATGGATGGCCCTCTGTGATGCGCACAAACGCCCCGCTGGACTCGCGAATGTCTTTGATCCCCCAACCTTCTCCTCCCCCAACCTTCCCCTCCCCCAACCTTCTCCTCCCCCAACCTTCCCCTCCCCCAACCTTCCCCTCCCCCAACCTTCTCCTCCCCCAACACTTGCTAATCCCGGTCGCTCCCACTCTTCTCACCTGCACAAGCCTGTCTGCTGGTAGTGCAAACGGCGACGCAGGCCCCTCTGTGATGCGCACAAACGCCCCGCTAGACTCGCGGATGTCTTTGATCACGCGGCCTCCCTTGCCAATCAGAGCGCCCGACTGTGACGCCGGCACCAGCAGGTTTAAGACCGACCGGCTCGACTCGTCCGCCCTCTGCTGCTGCTGCTGCTGGCGGTTCTCGTTGGGGTGAGGACCATCCTGCTTGGGGGAAGAGGAGGGGTGACAGAGAGGAGAGATAACAGCAGGTTTAAGACGAATCAGCTCAACTCATCTTCCTGCTGCTGCTGCTGCTGCTGCTGGCGTTTCTGGTTGGGGTGATGGCCGTCTGTCAAAGGGAGAGGGAGGTTGGCAGAGGTAGGGAAAAAACACGAGTAGGTTCAGGACTGATCGGTTCCACTCGTCTGTCCTCTGCTGTTGCTGCTGCTGCAGCTGCTGCTGCTGGCGGTTCTGGTTGGGGTGATTGACGCCTGTCCGGCTTGGGGGAAGAGGGAGAGGGACCGGAATAAGGGCTGCAGAGGCACCACGAGGCTGATCCACCCAGCAAGGAAAGCACGAGGAAAGCTGCAGAGCCTACCACGGACGGGAAGGAGGGTTGCACCAGTGCAGTAGCGAGGTACCTGCTGATGATATACCATTGTATGAATTTTGGGCTTTTTTTCTAACATGATTATTTACAAACCTGGGGCAGCAGTGCAGCAGGGAACATGGCCAAGAGCGCTGTCTTAGCGGGTGAGAGAACAGAAAGGTGAGAAGACGACCTGTCGTTATTACTTCTGATTTGCACTCTTCTTATTGAACACACACCTGGGGCAGCAGTGCAGCAGGGAACATGGCCAAAAGACGCTGTCTTAGCGGGTGAGAGAACAGAAAGGTGAGAAGACGACCTGTCGTTATTACTTCTGATTTGCACTCTTCTTATTGAACACACACCTGGGGCAGCAGTGCAGCAGGGAACATGGCCAAGAGACGCTGTCTTAGCGGGTGAGAGAACAGAAAGGTGAGAAGACGACCTGTCGTTATTACTTCTGATTTGCACTCTTCTTATTGAACACACAGCTGGGGCAGCAGTGCAGCAGGGAACATGGCCAAGAGCGCTGTTTTAGCTGGTGAGAGAACAGAAAGGTGAGAAGACGACCTGTCGTTATTACTTCTGATTTGCACTCTTCTTATTGAACACACACCTGGGGCAGCAGTGCAGCAGGGAACATGGCCAAGAGCGCTGTCTTAGCGGGTGAGAGAACAGAAAGGTGAGAAGACGACCTGTCGTTATTACTTCTGATTTGCACTCTTCTTATTGAACACACACCTGGGGCAGCAGTGCAGCAGGGAACATGGCCAAGAGCGCTGTCTCTGCTGGTGAGGGGTCGGACGAAGAGGAGGGGGGCGAGGAGATGACGAGCAGGCGCTCCTCTGATGGCTGGTGGGAGGAGGGGGAGAGGGTGAGGGGAGAGGAAGGGGGTGCTAATGAGGAAGGGGGTGCTAATGAGGAGCCATCAACACGAGGAGGAGGGAGGCGAGGAGACGACCAGCAGGCGCTCCTCTGATGGCTGGTGGGGGGAGGGGAGGGGAGGGAAAGGGGGAAGCGACGGGATAGGAAGGAGAGTGAGAGGAGGAAATGATTCACGAGTGCTTGATTTGCGAGGAAGGAGGAGGGGGGCGAGGAGATGACTAGCAGTCAGTCGCTCCTCTGATGGCTGGTGCGGGGGGGAAAAGAAGGAAGGGGAGGGTGAGGGGAAGAGGGGAGGGAGGGAAGGGAAGGGTTGGAGAAAGGATTGGACCAAGAAGAGGAAGTGTGCCCTTGCAGTGCATTCACAATGAGGAGGCGGGCGGCGAGGCGATGACGAGCAGCCGCTCCTCTGATTCTTGTTGCAGGGAGGGAGGGGGAGGGGGAGGGGGAGGGGGGAGGGGGAGGGGGGAGGAGGTGAGGGGAGTTGAAGGAAAGCGAGGGACAGGAACAATTAAAAAAGGCTTGATTTGAGAGGGAAGGAGGAGGAAAGCGGCGAGGAGATTACGAGCAACCGATCCTCTGATGGCTGGTGGGAGAGAGAGAGGGAAGGAGAGTGAGAGAGGGACATGATTCAGAGAAGCTTGACTTGAGAGGAACAGAGGAAGAGGGGGGCGAGGAGATGACTAGCAAGAGATGAGAGACGGTGGGAGGGAAAGGGCAGGGGGCGAGGGGAGCGGAGGGGAGGGGACGGAAAGGAACAGAAGAGCAGAAGGTGGAAATGGCAGTGCAATAGCAATGGAGCGAAATGCCAGTGATAAATCCAAACCACCCCGCTGGAAACCACATGCTTACAATGGTAGGGGGCGCAGAGCACATGCGAATCCTCGCCCCTGTACTGTCCCTCATCTGCTTGATCTTGCTGCCCTGCTTGCTTGCTTGTGAGCGTGTGAGTTGACTCAACAGTGCGTGTGGATTGACTCGCTCATCACAACAATGCATGCTCACAATGGTAGGAGGCACGGAGCACTCTTGCTGCCTTGCTGCCTTGCTTGCTATTGAGGCAAGTCAACCGTGCGTGCGTGTGAGTCGACACGACTCAAGAGTGTGTGCTTAGCTCACAATGGTAGGCGGCACGGAGCACATGCGGATCCTCGCCCCCGTGCTCTCCCTCATCTGCTTTATCTTGCTGCCCTGCTTCCCGATCACCCCGCCGGCCCGGCTCTCATGCACCAGGAGACGAGACACCACTGGAGAGAGGAGGAGACGGGAGCGATAAGGGGGAAGAGACATGGGATCGGGTGAGGATGCCGGCAGGCAGTGGGTCTCCTCCAATGCCCCCTCCTGCTTCCCGATCACCCCGCCGGCCCGGCTCTCATGCACCAGCAGACGAAACACCACTGGAGCACGGAAGAGAGGGGGAGATGGGCAGGGAGAGAGTGTGAGCAGGAGAGAAGGAGCAACAAGGGGAAAGAGACGGGACTACGTCCCCTGCTGCTAGGGGATGCAGCTAGGGGGCCTCCTCCCCTGCTTGCCCCCTGCTTGCCCCCTGCTTGCCCCCCTGCTTGCCCCCTGCTTGCCCCCTGCTTGCCCCCTGCTTGCCAATCACCCCTCCGGCCCGACTCTCATGCACCAGGAGGCGAAACACCACTTGAGAGAGGGGAGCATAAGGGGAAGAGATGCGATTGGAGAAAGGAAAGCACAGGCGGAGATAGGTGAAACGATGGAGGGGGAATGTGATTTCCCTCATCCTCTCTCCTTTCTCGTTCCTTTAGTTTTCACTAAAAAAGGCGGGGAGATTGTTTTCACTTTTAAAGGGTGGGATTGATGAATAAGATCTCCGTTCTCATTCTTTTGGATTTTACTTAAAAGGGTGAGGACATAGTATGCAAGGGGGTCGATGCACCAATGGTGAAGGAGAAGGGCGGAGATAAGGGAAAACAACTCAGGAAGTGAGGGATTGGGAGATGGGGGAAGGGGGAAGGGGGGAGTAGGTGAGGGGGGAGAGTGACAAGCACATAATGGAACGGAGCAAGGAAGGGGAAGGGGAGGGGATGGCAAGGGGAATAGACGAAGCAAGCAGTTCTGAACCTTAGAAGCGTTTCAGAACGCAAGGAGCGAGAGGGAAGGGAGCAAGGAAGGGGAAGGAGAGGGGATGGCAAGGGGAAGAGACGAAGCAAGCAGTTCTGAACCTTAGTAGCGTTTCAGAACGCAAGGAGCGAGAGGGAAGGAAGCAAGGAAGGGGAAGGGGAGGGGATGGCAAGGGGAAGAGACGAAGCAAGCAGCTCTGAACCTTAGAAGCGTTTCAGAACGCAAGGAGCGAGAGGGAAGGAAGCAAGGAAGGGGAAGGGGAGGGGATGGCAAGGGGAAGAGACGAAGCAAGGGGAGGGGAGGGCAAGAGGGAAAAGGGGCAAAGTGGGTGGAGACTGGGGGGGAGGGGGACCAGGGGGAGTGGGGGAAATAGGGGGGGGGGGGAAAGGGAAAGGTTTGGGTGAAAGGATCACACGTGGCGGAGGGATTTCAGAGGCGATGGCAGCCGGGGGGAGGGGGGTGGAAGAGGGGGGAGGGGGGTGGTGGATAGAGGGGGGAAAGGGGTAGGAGCTAGAGCAAGGGACAAGGGAAGACTGACTAATGAATCTGGCCTCTCCTCACAAACATTCCTTCACTCCACCCTCCTCTTGCACACACCCTCACTCACACGTACACCCACGTTCACTCTCTCACTCACGCCAAATTCTCACACACGCTATCACACACAAACTCTCTCAAACACCCACACACACCAGTATTCTGCGAGCCACTGAACTCCTGTGTGGGTGCAACGGCGGGGACCCGGGGGCAGGTGGGTGGGGGGGAGCGGGGCGGTGGCACGAGGCGGGGGTTCGCGGAGTGATACCGGGACAGGGAGGGAACGTGGTGAAAGTCCCGGGGTGCGGGGTGAGGGGTGAGCGGCGTAGGTGGGGCGTGGGGTGTGGGGCGGGGGGCATGGGGCGGAGCGGAACGCGTGGCCGCCGCCACACAAATGCGAGCAGGGGAGCGGCCCGTGGCGAGGAGCAATGCGGAAGGATGGAAGGTACGTAGCAGCAGCAGAGCATGGCAGCGCAAGAAGCACGGGGGTTTGGCCGCGTGATGGCCGGGAGCAGGAGTGGGAGGGGGAGGGAGTAGGGAACGGGGGGAAAGGGGGAGGGGGAAGGGGAGGGGGACGGGGAAGGGGAGGGGGGAGGGGAAAGGGAGGGGGAGCGGGAGCGGAGGTGGGAGAGGGGAAGAAAAGAGGGGGATTTCCGGGGCAAAGGACATGCGGGTGGGAGGGGAAGGGGGGGGGGGTGGGGGGGGGGGGGGGGGGGGGGGGGGGGGGGACAAGAAGGGGCAGGGTGTTGGGGGGGAGGGAAAAAACGGGGAACACAGGGAATGAGGGAAAGGTGAGTGGTGAAAAGGCGAAAGGGGGGCGGTGGGTGGGGGGGAAGTGGAGGGAGAACGAGGATGTGAAATGGGGATGGCGGATGGAAATCAGGAATGGGGACAGGAAATGGGGATCAGGGATTGGTGGAAGGGACAGGGGACGGGACAGGAGAAAGGAACTGAGAGTTGGGGCTTGAAATAGGAAATGGGAAACGAGAAGTGAGTGTTTATCTTAACGAGTACCGCGATAGGGGGGATCACGAGAGGGAAGAGGACTGTGCGCGTAGATTAGGAAGGTTGGGGGGATCTTGGTGGAAAACCAACGGACGGGGAAAAACCACCGACTTTCTTTAGCTACGATTGCGACTGCGACTGCGACTGCGACTGCAACTGCGAGTGCGAGTGCGAGTGCGAGCGTACCTCCATGTGCCGCTTTCGGTGATGGTGGTCGTCGCTTGAACCCGCCATGTTAGGGTTTGGCGACGGATTTAAAGCAGTAGGAAAAAAATCGACCAAACCGAAACGCTACCCAGATGCCGTCTTCCAAAATGCTGAGCAATGTGAGGAAGGAAGTGCGAAGCGACGCTTCGAGGAATGTTTGGGGCGAAGGATGTTGCAGGATTGGCGTAAAAATGCTGGAGGCTGAACAAAACAGCGGGAAAGAGAGAAAAGGTTTTTGGACCTCCCTTGTTTTTGTCATAGTGCAGAACGGTCAGATCCTCTGTTGCTTGTTAGTCGAAGTGGACAATGGCAGTAAGAAACTTCTTACAAAAAACGTCATAGTAGTTTCGTTGATATCCTATATAAGACTATGATTGATTTTCCAAATGAATCCTTACCTTGATTTTGTCGCGTAACGACATGAGAACTAGAGCATAACTAGTAAACAGCTGTCCTCTCTTTTTTGTAATATACTTACTGTACTTATACAGCTTACTGCATCGCCAACCAGAACAGCATTTTCCCAGGGTTTCATTTCGTCAAGCAGACGCTGTGCATCGCGCGGAGAGCACACAACCGCGGAAGCGGAAACGCAAACAGAAGCGCACCTGACTGGGCCGTTGCTGCTTGTGTGATGCGCCGATGGCTCGGCGCGGAACTGTAGGCGCAGCCGACTTCAGTTGGTGGTCCCATAGGTTTGGCGGAGGCTCCCCTTGAAAAACGAATGTGAACCAGCGGAGGCGGAGGGTCGCGATGACTGTAGCGCGCGAGAGTTGGATGGATCTGGTGTCGTCAGAAAGACGCAACGAGGGTTTCAAGCGAGAGGGAGTTAGCTACTTTCTTGACGGCAGCCATGGCTGATGGGTAAAACGAACTCGAATTCTTTTATCTCGCATTACTCGAGGTTCTCTTGAGTGTGATTCGGCGAATGGAAAATTGGCTGTCTAGTTTTTTCTTCTCTCTGCCTTTTCCGCCGTTTGTTTTGCTTAAAAAGACCCGTTAAACTGGGCCTAGTAATGCTCCGTCGGTTATATATTATTTCGACTTATTCCTCGCGTTTTTGTCTTCAGTACACAGATTCAGTTGGATTCGTTAAGAACTGTAAATGGGATCCTCACAGCCTTTTTTCGATTGGGCCGGATTCCCAGCTGGGGTGCGCTTCGAGCCGACAGATGTACAGTTATTGGATCACCTCTTGGCGAAGCTTGACGAGGAGCACGCTAGCATAGACGACGATGAACAGACTCTAAAGCCCGGCGTTAAGAGGCAAGCCAGCCGAGGGAAAGAGAATATCGCAGGGGGGGTTGCTGGCAAGCCACGTGTCCAGAAGCCGCGCCGGCAGCAGCACCCGCGCGTGGGGGAGTTTATTCCGACGTTAGGATTCGAAGACGGGATCTGCAGCGTTTATCCGGAGGATCTGCCTGGTAGGTCGGTCGGTCTGCAGCCTCGGCTCCTCCTGATTTCGCATGGCACTTGCCATGCGTTGTTCTTGTTAGATTCCGTCAAGAGCTTTCCTTGCTCGGGCATGGCTTCGTTAGAGTCTCTGGACACGGTTTACATCGTGACGTGGCAGCAAAATATTGCGTACGTCGGGTTAAGGTTTCCGCTCTTCACAATTTCGACCAGCATGAAGCCAAATCCTCATTCGTCCTTTTTCTCTCCTCCATAACCACGAGCATTCTCTACCTTTTTTTTCGTCACGCGTCGCCTCTATTCGTCTCGTCACCAGCACACCCTCTTGTCGTCGCGTCACCAACGCATTCCCTTTCCTTCCTTCCCTTCCCTGCTCTCTCCTCGTGCTGACATTGTCACGGACAGCACCGCTTGGCACTATTTACCAGGAATGGCTTTTCAGTCGATCAAGCATCAATCACATCACATTTCCTTCCCTTCCCTGCTCTCTCCTCGTGCAGGCATTGTGAGCGCCACTCGGGACTACTTCCAGGAATTGCTGTTCAGTCGACCAAACATCAATCACGACGCATTCCCTTGCCCCCCTTCTCTCCTCTTCTCTCCTTGTGCACACCTCGTGAGGGACGGCACCAAGCGACACTGCTTCCACCGCGTTTCTCACGCCCTTGCTGTGCAAGCGAGGCAAACTGCGCACATTCCTTTCCCCTCTCTCCTCCTGCAGGCATTGTAATGGGCGGCACCACGCGCCATTTTCCTTCCACCGCTTCTCGCGCGCTTATGCCATGGGTCCACGCAAGCGAGGCAACACATTCCCTCCCTTCCCTTCTGCTCCCCCCTCTCCTCCTGCAGGCATTGTGACGGACAGCACCACACCACACGGCATTACCTCCGCCGCCCATCTTGAGCCAATGTCATGGGGCTGCGCAAGCGAGACATCGATCGTTGCGAGTCAGCTTAAGTCACCACAACGCATTCCTTTTTCCACTTTCTCTCCTCCTGCAGGGATCGTGACAGATGGCACCACTCGGCACTACTTCCACCGCCCAACGCACACTTAGGCCATCGGGCTGCACAAGAGGGCCAAACCGCACTGCGAGTGGACTCAAACCACCAGTCATTCCGTTCCGTTCTCTCTCCTCCTGCAGGGATCGTGACGGATGGCACCACTCGGCACTACTTCCACCGCCCGTCGCGTGCCTATGCCATGGGGCTGCGCAAGAGACGAAAGATCTTCTCAGATCGCCCCTCCGCTGCCGCTTTGCCGCCCGGCACTGTGGGGGGGGCGGATGCGGGTGGAGGACGGGAGGAGTGCGGGTACAGATGGCACAAGACAGGGAAGACTCGCCCCGTGTTTGCTCGGAACAGAAAGCAGGTACGAGACTCCCCCTCTCCACCCACTCTCTCCTCTGTGTCAGTTCTTCTGGGCCTGCTCTGTCACCCTGGTGCCTGCTAGTGGGGGAAGGAGGGGAAAAGGGGGAGGGAAAGCGGATGTTGATGCAGGGCGGGAGGAAAGTGGGCACAAGGCAGGGAAGACTTGCCCCTTGTTTGCTCGTAACTGAAAGCAGGTGGGCTTGAGGCAGGTATGGGACCCATCCCACCCCCCACCCCTCCCTCACATGCTGAATCGATAGATTCGAATCTAAGGCCACTCCAAACGACTCTCGCTGTTGTTTCCTCCCTCAAATAACTCTCCTATGCTGCCATCCTCACCCCCTAGAACGTGCGTCTCAGATCAGTTGGAAGAAGATCTAGGTGCTGTATGAGATGCGGGCGCAGAGGGGCAAGAGGGTTCTCAGCCGCCTTAAAGGACCCCCTCTGCTTGCTTTTTCCCCCGATTCCCCAAACCCCTCCCGTTTAGATCGGTTGGAAGAAGATTCTGGTGCTGTATGAGACGCGGGCGCAGAGGGGCAAGAAGCGGGGGGCGGACGAGCGGAGCAGCCCTGCAGGGGGCAGCGGGAAGGACAGGAAGACGAACTGGATCATGCACCAGTACCACGTGGGGGAGCAGGGCGAGGAGAAGGAGGGCGAGTGGGTGGTGTCGAAGGTGTTCTTCCAGGTAAGGTGCCTGTAATGGCCCCACATGCACCCTGGTTGACCCGGTCTTGAAAGTCTCAGAAGTTTCTCCCGGGGTGAGGGTTCTGGTGGTGCTGTAGTGCTGCTAGCGAGTACCACGTGAGTGAACCACTCCTCTCCACTCCTTTCCACTCCCCTCCACTCCTCTCCCCTCTCCCCATCCCTGCCCCACCTCAGATTCAGCAGAGGCAGAGTTCAGGCGAGAGCAGGAAGCAGGGAGGGGTCACTGCCCCCTTGTTTGACATTGTGTGTTGTGCCTCCTCTCATCTCCTCTCCTCTCCTCTCCTCTCCTCTCATCTCCTCTCCTCTCCTCTCCTCTCCTCTCCTCTCCTCTCCTCTCCTCTCCTCTCATCTCCTCTCATCTCCTCTCCTCTCCTCTCCTCTCATCTCCTCTCCTCTCCTCTCCTCTCCTCTCCTCTCCTCTCCTCTCCTCTCCTCTCATCTCCTCTCATCTCCTCTCCTCTCCTCTCCTCTCCTCTCATCTCCTCTCCTCTCCTCTCCTCTCCTCTCCTCTCCTCTCATCTCCTCTCCTCTCAACTCCTCTCCTCTCATCTCCTCTCCTCTCCTCTCCTCTCCTCTCCTCTCCTCTCCTCTCCTCTCCTCTCTTCTCCTCTCTTCTCCTCTCTTCTCCTCTCCTCTCCTCTCTTCTCCTCTCTTCTCCTCTCCTCTCCTCTCTTCTCCTCTCTTCTCCTCTCCTCTCCTCTCCTCTCTTCTCCTCTCTTCTCCTCTCATCTCCTCTCCTCTCCTCTCCTCCCCCTCTCCCCACCTGCAGATCCAGCAGAGGCAGAGTTCAGGCACGCGAGCAGGCAGCAGGGAGGGGTCTCTGCCCCCCCTTGGCCAAGGGGCAGACGAGGAGGAGTGTGGGGGAGAGGGGAGAGAGGACATTGAAGCAGTAGGGGAAGGGGAGGGTGGAGGGGCAGAGGAGGAGGAAGGGGAGGAGGAGGAGGCGGTGGATGATATCGAGGATGTTAATGACGAGGATGGGGATGGGGATGGGAGTATGGCAGGGACGCCTAGAGCAGCTGTGGCAGGGAGAGGAGGAGGGTTGGTCTCAGGGGCAGGAGGTGCGTTTGTAGCGGCAGGAGGTTCGGTTGTTACAGCAGGAGGCTCTGTTGGAGCAGCAGGAGGCTCGGCTGTAACGGCGGGAAGGAGAGGAAGGGGAGGGCGGGGAGGCAGGGGAGTAAGCCAGGGTGGTCGGGGGGGGTCTAGAGGGGGTAGGGCCGCAAAGGGGGGGGTATTGGCAACGAGGGGCACGTTTCAAGCATCGCAGCCATCACCCACGTCAGCCGCCGCTGCCTCGTTTGGTGCGGCGTTTTTGCCACCAGGGCACCACCCACCACCCTTACTCCCTGCAGCTTCTCCTGTTTCCACAGCAGTAGGTGCTGCTTCAGGTGCTATTTCAGGTGCTTTCTCAGGTGCTGATCTGATAACCGCAGCAGAAGCAGCGGCAGCAGGGGCAGCAGGCGCATTAGCAGGGCCTGCTCGTCTGCTCTCCTTCCACAACCAAGCACCCCCCTGTGAGGTCCAGCAGGGGGCTTCATTAGGCACAGCAGGACCACCAAACACTGGCGTTCCTGGTATAGGGTTCACTCCTTTCAGTAGGAAAGGTGGTGCTGCTGGTGGTGGTGGCGGTGGTGGTTCTGTTCGTGCTCGTACTGGTGGTGTGACAGCAGGTGAAATCACCAGCATCACCAGCAACAGCAGCGGCAGTGGGCATGGCAGTGGCGGCGCTGGGGCAATGTTCCTTTCTCCTCCTCCTAACACCCAGAGACGGGTGGGGCTTGGCGGTTTCAAACCCCTTGACACTGGTACTGCTGGTGCTGGCGCTTCTGCTGCTGGTGGTGGTGGCAGTGCTGCTGAGCCTGTCACTCCAAGCAGCACTGCCATGCCTGTTCCCATCACGCCCCCCTCCGCGCACTCTGCCTCGGGTCTTGTGGCGTTGAAACCGCCTGGCTGGGGTGGAGAAGCAGGGCGGCTGGTCCCATGCCAACTGCAGCAACAGCAGCAGGAGCAGCAGCAGCAGCAGCAACAGCAGGGTAACCATGCCGCTACAACTACCCCCAGAACTGAAGCTGCTACAGCTGCAGAGTTAGTGGGCAGTGCAGGAGTAAGTGACCTGAGGGCGTATGAGCAGTCGCTGGGAGACAGTGCCTCAGATATCGGCTCATACCCACACTCACAGGAGGTGAGCGTTGGTCTAAAACACACATACACACACTTACACGCACGCACGCACATGCACGCGCACACGCTTCGCACGCACACACGAACGCGCACTCACACGCGCAGGAACAGACACACACTCACGAGCTTGTTCTCACTCGTCTTTGAATGTCGCCCTCTTTCTTTCTCCTCTCTCTTTTCCCCCCACCAGCCTCTTTCTCTCCCGCCACAGGCATCGATACAAGCAGCTCCCCTTGCCATGCGACCCGCTGCTGCTGCCAGCCTGCCTGCCACTGCTCTAAGGCAATACCTGGCTCAGAAGCAGCAGAGGCAGCAGGGGGGAGGGTACCAGCAGGCTAATGAGACAGGGAATTACCTGCAGCAACAGCAGCAGCAGACAGGGAAGAGTGAGCAGCAAAGACTGGCAGAATTATATCAGCAGCAGCCGCCTCTGTTGCAGCAGCAGCAACTGCAACAGGCAGGGCAATCCAGGGAGAACGGGATGCTGAATGAGGGTGGAATCAGGGTGATCGGGGGGCATTTGGGGGAGGTGGATGCAGGGCAGGTGCATGGGATGGGGGAAGGGCAGGTGCATGCGATGGGGGATGGGCAAATCCCCGTGATGGGGTCTCAGGAGGAGAATGGGGCAGCAGGGAAATGGGAGACAGGGAGCGAGGCAATGACTCTGCAGGAAGCAACACAGAGGCACAGAGTGGGGCTTGGGGAGGGGGAGGCTCAGCAGCAACAACAGCAGGAGAATTTCCAGCAGCAGCAGCTACAGCAGCAGCAGCAGCGGGAGCCGCATTTTTACCAACAGCAGCATGAGAACCAACAACAGCAATCACCAGTCGCAACAGCAGCAGCAGCGGCGGCGGCGACAGCAGCAGCGACAGAGCCAGAGGGGCAGCAGGGAGAGGGGAGGGACGAGGGTCACAAAGGGCATGGTTCCCTGCAGGACGGGATGGAAGGGCTGCCTGTTCTCTCCCAGAACGCTCTCTTTTCCCAAGGCGCCCTGTTTTCCCAGGGTACCCCTGATGATTACCCCTTCCGCTTCCTCTCTACTCCAGACGAGCACACTGATAACTCTCCCAAGAAAACTGACAATGGGACTCTAGCAGGAAGGATTGCAGCAGAAGGGACTGTAGCAGGAGGGGCTGTAGCCGTGGGTGTGACTGTACCTGATGCAGCTACAGCCGATGCAGTGGCTGTAGCAGCGCCGGCAACGCCCCGAGTGCCCTCGTCTGCTGACGTGGCAGCCAGTGCTGCGAGCTCAGGGAACATGGAAGGGGGCTGCGCAGAGGGAGGTACTGGTGTGGGTGGTGGTAGCGCCACACACATTAACGCAGTGAGCAGTGATGGGGGTCGGAGAGGGGGAGATGTGGAGGGTACAGGGGCGGAAGGTAAAAGCCTTTGGAAGCCTGCCCCTAGGAGATTCTCCCCCCCTGCTGCTGCCAGGGGTGACACGAGGGGCGGTGGTTCTAGTAGTGGCCCTGCTCCTGTAGCTGCTGCTGGTGCTGCAGTCACTGCTGGTGGTGCTGCTGGTACAATTACTGCTGCTGCTGTGAGTGCTGCGCTTAATGACTCGCTTAAAGAGCCGCTAAGAGACTCGCTTAAAGACTCGTGGTCGATCCCCACGAGTCAGGATTTGCCTCTGCCGTCCACCCCCATCTTTCTAAGCCAGGAGCTTCCCCCAATAGAGCACCTTCCCTCCTCGCTCCCTTCGCTGCCCCCGTCACAAGAGCCTGTGGGGTGCTTTGAGGCTACTCAGCCAGTGGATTTGGGGGAGGGGGAGGGAGGAGAGGGTGGTTTGGGCCGAGAGGTGGGTGTGGGTGATGAGGCTGGGGGAATGGGAGAGAGGGGCATGGGGCAGATGGATGGGGAGGGGGAAGGGGGGTTAGGCGGGATGGGGGCAATGCGAGAAATGGAGGCAATGGGGGAGATGGGGGAGAAAGGAGGGGAGCAGAGTGGGGGGGAATCAGAGGAGCCAATTCAAGAAACACAAGTGGAGGCAGAGGAGGTGGGTGGTCGAGGGGGGCATGTGGGAAATGAGGAGCAACAGGGGGAGCTGCAGCAACGGTTGCAAAAAGAGCAACACCAGAAGAGCACCGGTGGTAGTGCCGACAGCGGAAACGGCAGCAGCAGCGAGGCGAAGGATTCGTCACCATTGGATCTTCTGATGCTTGCCCTGTCAGGCGAACAGGGTGGGGATGGAGAGAAGGGGTGTGTGGGAGGGCAGGGTACGATGGAAGGGCAGGAGGAAGGACGGGAGGGAAAAAGGCGCGGAGAAAGGGAGGGAGAAGGAGGGGGAGGAAAAGGTGGGGATGGAGAGGGGAATGGACTGCAGGAAAGGAGATGTCGAATGTCGGGTTTAAGTTATCCTTCTGCTGTTCCCACCACTGGTGCAGCCGCCAACAACATTCCACCCATGGCATCAGCCAATGTTGTTGTTCCAGCTGAAAGGGGGGATACGAGCAGAGCAGAGACAGCCACAGCGCTTGGGAGTGCGGCAGGCATGGGGGGTCCTAGGGAGGGTTTATGCGGGACGGGTGGGGGAGAAGTGGCTGGGGCAGGGGAACGTGTGGTGGTAGGCAGTTGTGGGGTTGCAGCTGGGGCTGTGGGCGAGTGTGGTGCTATGCCTGGTGTGGTTGGGAGCGGTGCACTTGGTGCTGCATTTTGGATCGGCAGCAGTGGTCCGGGCATGAGCAACGGCACGTGGGGCGAGTGGATGGGGCCTGCCAGGTCCGGCGAAACGGAGATAGTTGGAGGGCTAGGTTCGGAAGGGCACGCAGGCGGAGGTTCGGAATGCCAGGGTCGGGAGCAGGGGCATGTAAAATGGGAGGGGAATGGGGCAGTGGAGGAAGATACAAGTGGGATGGGAGGATTGAAGAGAGTGAGTGAGAAGGAGGAGGAGAAGGAAGCCGAAGACAAGGAGGAGCAAGTAGACCGTAGAGGAACAGAAACAAGCGAGCGAGACGAACGAGGGGGAAAAGGAGGGAGGGGAGGGAAAGGGAGAGGGAGAGGAGAGGGGTCAGTGGAAGTGTCTTGCTTGGGTTCTGACAGGACAACAATGACAATCCCTCGCATGTTCCTCAGGAGCTCGAACCACGAGCAGAGCGAAGGGGACTCCCAGCAGAGCGGCAGTGCAAGTGGCTCGAGCAAGGGAAAGGAGGGCGGGATGGCAAGTGGAAGGAAGGGGAAGCGGGGAGGGACGAGTGGTGGTAGAGGGAGGAGGAAAGGGGTTGGCAGTGGGGAGGGAGGGGGAGGGAAACGGCAGGTGGGGGGCTGGAGGAACTGGACGATTGATACATGACGAGGAAGATTGGTAAATTACGGTTTATTTAGTGCGATTGTTGACGAGCAGGTGTAATTGGTTTGTTTTTGCATTGGCCTGCTAATTGGCCACTGCTATAGAATCTGGCTTGGTATGTCACCAAATTACATTGGCGAAGTTCTTGCTTACCGTACATGGACCAGATTTCATTACTCTGGTTTGAGAGACATTGGCTTGTCGTGTGGAAAGCAATTCTTCTGCTGTTATCAAGTATATGGACATGATTCTCCTCGTACCGGGTATTGACAGTGACGGTAACGGATTCCTCCATCAGATACCCGTTCCTTGGCTCTCCCAAACCTGACTCTCCCCCGCCTCACCCCACGCCCCGAACCCGAACCGACCCCCCCCTCCCCCCAATTGCACCCGTCAGTCACCCGTGTCGCCACGCATTTTCGCATTTGTTCCAGCTGCCCTCACCAATTATCAACGCTCTGCACCTCTTTGTAACTACCATTTCTCCTCCCCCTGCCTCTCGAGCTTTCCGCATTTCCTACCTTCCCAACTTGGGAAAAGATCAAATAGGGGCCTCGGTGTCCAACTTGGCGTCACTTCACCCCGCCCGTTTCCCTCCAAGATTGCAGTCGCACCAAGTTCGCACGCATCGCAAACTCATCGCCGTACCTTCGTCTGCATCCCTTTCCTCACACGGCTCACCTGCTTCCTGCTTCCTCCCCTCAACTACATTTCCTCTCCACGATTGATCTCGCGGGTTCAGCCCAACTCTGCTCTGCACGGCACACAACAGCACCCACTCACCAGCGCACTAATCCATGGATCGGACCGCGCTGCGGGAAATTAGCTCACGATTGCTGCATACGCCGTCTCCCACGCCGTTTTTTCTTCTTGATCGTATAAAGTATCTGGGTATGGCTATTTCATCGGCATCAAACAGTGATACTTTGCTGGCTCTAATCGCAAACACGACAGGCATCACAATTTTATTAGGCCTTTACCGCATACATTTCGTAAGTTCCTGTTCCACTGATATTATTTACCACTGAGCATTCTGAGCGCCGAGCATCCTACAACAAGCCTAAACGTCTCGCTCGAATCGTTTTGAACGGGTGCGTTTGCAACTATGGCGAGCATGCACTACGGCGCTTATCCCGGCCATTATCCCGCGGCGCATCAAGCGGGAGCGCCTTATCACCAACAGCCGGCTCACGGTGCTGCTCCTCCGCCTCCTTACGTTGCGCCTCAAGCCCAAGTTCCGTCACAACCGTATGCGGTCGTGGGGTCGCAGTACTGCTTACCGTACGAGACTGTGCTTGTAATGAAGGAAAAGATGTTCTCGTTGAGCGAAGCGAAGAAGGTCAAAGATACAAACGGGAATCTGCACTTCAAAGTCGCAAACAGGTGAGGCCTCAATTTACCGATATTTCACGGAACCCTCTTTGATTAAGGAGTCCTTAATGTAGTTGTAAACAGGTCTTTCCGTCAGGCTTTTCGCATGAAGCTTTTTCCCTTTCCCGGATTTGCCTTGCCTCTGCCACTGTTGGATATCAGTATTTACTAGACTAGCTATTCATACTCTTTAACCTTTTCCCATCTTCACCGATTGGATTGTCCCGAACCAGACTGCTATCCATTCACAACAAGACGGAAATTCAGGACGCCAGAGGAGCACCCGTGTGCATGCTAGTAGGGAAGGTGTTAACTCTGCACAACACCACCTACCTCTGCCCGGGGAGCAGCACAGAAACCGACGGTCACTTGCTTAGAGCCAGGAGGCCTTACATCACCTTTCAACCTGTTATTGAGGTGCGCTTGCTGCTTCAGGGTCCCAAATATCGATCTGCCATTTTCTCTTTCCCAGTTTTATTTGTTACCTTCTCTTTCCTATTTTCTCTCCCTATCACTCCGTCTCTCCATTCTCCATTTCTTCGGTGTCTTCTGACCAGTCTATTCTCCACCTAAAGTTTTCTCATCAACCTTATTCAACCTCTTGCGTCTTTCCTCTCCCTGCTTGTAGGTGTTTTTACGGGGCAATGTAACAAAAAACCCAGACATTTACCTCACTGGCTCCATTTTCCAGCATAACTTCAAGGTACTAGTATTCTCTCAACTTCTCACCTTTTTCCCAGACACCCCCCCCCTGGGACATCTCTTTTCCCATTTTGGAGTGTGACAGATAGAACTGCTGCATCTGTTTGTATAAGTTTCTTATTCAATGCTTGATGTATCCACTTTCACCCCCCCCCCTCCCGCCATCCTTATGACAGATCGTCACCTGCAACAACATGCTATTGGCCGAAGTGAACCGTGACATGTGCACTGCTCGTGACCTTGTCTTCGGGGCCCAAACATACTTCGTGCGAATCTTGCCGAATGTGGACATGGCGTTAGTTCTGGCTCTGGTTACTCTGGCAGACACCATGTATGTTAATAGAGAAGGGTCTGGCATAAGCATTGAGTTAGTTTGATTACGCTACATGAAATCTTTGTGTCTGATTCAGTTTATACTGTTGGAAACAAGTGATTTAACGCTTCTGTTGTGACGAAACATCGAACTGTAAAACGAAGCGAGTTACAATGAAGCAACTGCGAGTCAACCGAGGAGGTTGACAAAACGCAACAGCTGGAGGTTACGCTAAGGTCAAAGGACAACGACCTTTGACTCGCCAAAATTCAGCGCGACAGCAAGGACAAAAAACTGATTCGGTATTGAGAAGTTGCCAGAGTCGTCACTGTTGTTGGAAACAAGTAATTTAACGCTTCCTATGTGTCGTAACATCGAACCGTAAACGAGGCAAGCTACAGCGAAGCAATGGCGAGTCAACCGAGGAGGTTGACAGAAAAGTAACATCCGGAGGTTATGCGAAGGTCAAAGGTCAGCGACCTTTGACTCAACAAATATAGCGCGACAGCAAGGACAAACAACTGACTCGATATTGAGCAGTTGCTTGAGTCGTCTGTCAAACTGTATGTTTGTGTTATCTCTAGGCTATAGTGGGTTAGTCTACAAGGGGTACAACACTTTACGGTTAGGTACTTGTACTCATGCATGCTACCTAGTCCACCATTCCAGCCTGCTTATTCTAACATGGTATTAGAGCAGAATCGTTCCTAGGGCCCACCGAACGTTCCGCCCTGCCCTAACCGTATATTTTTTCTTCCTACGCTGCCCCTGCAGCCGCGCTGCCCTAGCAGCCCGCGTCGAGAGCCTGAGACTCGTGCTTCCATCCCTGAGCGTCGAGAGCCTGAGTCTAGCTTTGACCTTGAGCCTGAGCCTAGAGCAGCTGTCTGTGCTCGTGTTCCTCGTGTTCGTCGTCCGCGTGCTTCGGCTGTCCCCGGCACTCACGATATGACACTCCGTCCTTCCTCTGTTCCACAGCGTGTTGTCTTACCGTTACCTCCTGCGTCCTCTCTTCCTGACGTTGCTGACCCTCTGTCTGACCTTGCTCGTGCGTCCAGTCCGACTGTTACTCGCTTCCTTGCTACGGTTGTGACAGACCCTACGTTCTTGTCTCCTGCTGCGTCTGCCTTAGTCGCTGAGCTCGTTGACTTTGCTGCTGTGTACCGCCTAGACTACCTTGCGAGTCTTGTCTCTGACCCTGTCCCTGCCTGTCCTCCGTCCGTCGGGGGTGAGACTGCTCTTGGCTGTACTGCCCTTTCCTGTGACGTTCTTGAGGACAGACAGGAGGAGCTGGAGTGCCGTGCGGCCGCTTCACCCCATCACGCGACCATGCTGCTTGCCCCTGAGGGAGACCCGGATGCACTTGACATCCCACCCCGCGCTCCTACAAGGAGGCGATTTCGGGTGAGTACTCCTCTCAGTGGCAGACAGCCATGGACGCAGAGATGGCTTCCTGGAAGTCCACAGGCACCTACGTCGATGAGGTTCCCCCACGTGGGGCGAACATCGGCAGTGGCATGTGGATTTTCAGGGTGAAGCGGCCGCCGGGTTCTCCGCCTGCCTTCAAGGCACGGTACGTTGCTAGAGGCTTCAGTCAGCGACAGGGGGTCGACTTCTTCCAGACCTTCTCCCCCACCCCGAAGATGACCACTCTTCGGGTGTTGCTACACGTTGCAGCTCAGCGTGACTACGAGCTGCACTCCCTCGACTTCTCGACAACTTTCTTGCAGGGTAGCCTTCACGAGGCCATCTTGTTGCGCCGTCCACAGGGCTTCACTGGTCGTTTCCTGAGGGTACCCAGTGGAGCCTACGGCGACCAGTGTACGGCCTGCGTCAGGCGCCCCGTGAGTGGCACGACACACTGAGAACGACACTTGCGGCTCTTGGGTTGCTCCTTCGACTGCTGTCCCGTCGCTGTTTCTACGCACCGACACTACTCTGCCGCCGTTCTACATCCTCGTGTACGTCGACGACTTGGTTATTAGAACTGCTGACACTGAGGCACTGGCCCTAGTGAAGGCGGAGCTGCAGGAGAGACACACCTGCACTGACCTGGGTGAGCTGCGGAGCTATCTTGGCTTGCAGATCACCCGGGACAAAGCACGGCGCACCATCACCCTGACTCAGTCACACATGGTGCAGCAGGTCCTTCAGCGCTTCCGCTTCACGTACTCCTCGCCACAGCCCACTCCTCTGGCTACCGGCCACTCGCTCTCAGCTCCACCTTCGGACGAGTCTGTAGAGCCGTGTGGTCCGTACCCAGAGCTTGTGGGTTGCCTCATGTACCTGATGACGCGCACACAACCTGAGCACGCGTACCCTCTCAGCCTCTTGGCTTGCTACGTGGCACCTGGTCGACACCGAAAGGTGCACTTTGATGCTGCGAGGAGGGTACTGCGTTACTTGTGCAGCACATCGGGCATGAGGCTCGTGCTTGGAGGACGGGGTTCAGTGGTCCTCACAGGATACTCTGACGCTTCTTGGGCCGACAACCAGGCGACTCAGCGTTCGTCACAGGGCTACGCTGGGGCCATGGCTGCACAGGAGCTCCGCTGGCTGACCTACCTACTGACCGACTTGGGGGAGCGGCCTCGTTCTCCTCCAGTTCTGTATGTTGATAACAAGGCAATGCTTGCCTTGTGTCGCGAGCAGAGACTGGAGCACCGAACGAAGCACATTGCTCTTCACTACTTCCTTGCGCATGAGCTGCAGCAGCATGGTTAGCTGCGCCTTGCTTTCGTGGCCTCTCGGGCCAACAATGCTGATGTCTTCACCAAGGCCCTTGGGGCTGGTGATCATCAGCGTTTCTGCACTGCTCTTGGGCTTGTGCCCACTCTGCCTCAACTGCTGGTTGCTTGACTTGCTCTTGTTGTACACTGATATATATCTTTATACCTGCTTGTTTACTCTTGCTAGGTTGTGATCGGTGTACTGCCTTGCTATTATAACTCTGCATGTGAACTGGCCTTGTGGCCGCTTGCTTGTGCTCAGATTGTGTGGTGTCCTTGAGATCCACCTTGAGCTTTGCTTTGCTTTGCTTGTTCTCTTGCTTGACTGGTCTTGTGACCGTCTGTTGTGTTTGCTATCTCCTACTTAGCCTATGGGGTTGTGTCAAACTGCATGTTTGTGTTATCTCTATGCTATAGCGGGTTAGCCTACAAGGGGTACAACACTTTAGGGTTAGGTACTTGTACTAATGCATGCTACCTAGTCCACCATTCCTGCCTGCTTATTCTAACATCGTCACTGTATCGAACCGCAAGAGCAACAGCAAAACGGTTATTGCATCCTTTCATATTCCTTGTAATCTTATAAAAAGCTTGTATTACCTCTTTTATAATTAATCTATCTTGCTCTCACATACCAGCGCAAGGTGGTTCAGCAACTTATCATTAAACGCTTCCGCAATACAACATTCCTATCAGAGTCTTAGCCATGAAAGATCCTAAGGGCTTTTCTCAGCCCAACATGGTATGAAAGCTGACAAGGCAAGATTCAACTTCGTTTAAACTCCTACGACATCAGAAGACATGGCAACACAGAAAGAGAGAAGCTCCTCTAACGGCTCTCCTGGCACTACCCCTACTCCACCTCCAGCCTCTGGCCTACAGACAGAGGGAGGCACGGCGACAAGACCAGCTACTGAATCCACTAAGACTCCCGCAAACCAAACGACCGGCTTCGACCCAAACATGATGGAGAAGACTCCCGCAAACCAAACGACCGGCTTCGACCCAAACATGATGGAGAATTTCTTCTCCTTTATGTCCTTCTACGGATAGCACCAGCAAGCAGCACCTGCGCAGTCAAACAACAGCGACAACAACAACGGCGTTACTCCAATGACTCTTGACGGCTCATCCTACGCGCGCGGAAACTAGCAGCAACCTACCTTTGCTCCGTACGAGCCTCAACGTGGCTCCATCAGCTTCATGCCGCACCAGCAGCCTTCACCTGGACAAGAGAAGACATTGGATGCACTTCAGGTTCAATCTCAGTTCGCACACGTTCTGAAGCTGCAGACATCAACACCCTTTGACAGGAAGGAATTTTATACCTGGTCCTTCGAATTCGAACTGATGATGGAAGGCGCGCAGATCCTCGGATTCTTCGACGGATCTCTGCCATACCCAACACACGGGACGCAGTACGACAAACAACAATACACGTATCCGTCGCTGATGGCGTATACAATCCTTCTGCGAAACATAACGCCGAACGAGCAGCAAAACATCTGGTCTTATCGTGGATACGGCAACTCCGCCGAGCTCGCGTACAACCACCTGAAGAACCTGTATCAAGCAACAGACAGTGTTAATCAAAGTCGTCTCATTTCACAGCTGACAACAGTGGAAATGAAACCCGGCGAAAAGGGGATGGCGTATATCAGTCATTGTCGTGGACTGCGCGACAGACTCCTTCGATGCGGAGGATCGATATCCGAAGAAGCCTTCGTGACAGTTGTCATACTGGCCTCGGTCCTCATTGGCGTGTCAAAACATATTTCTATTCATTTCTCTCTAGGTTGTGTAGGGGTCATTCCTTAGAGGGTACAACCCATTTCTCTCGATAGTCTTGTACCCCTCCCCCGTACCTAATCGACAACCATTCTCACCTACCTCCTAGTTCAAACATGGTATTAAGAGCGAAATGGTCCTTAGGACCGGATTCTTAAACGAGCCCACCATGAAATTATCGATCTACTGCCCGAGTCGCGCCCCTAGGAACGTCCCGTCTTTTTTTTTTTTCCAACGCAAATCGCGCCCTAGGCGAGACGATTTTTTCTGCCCTAGGCGCGTCCCGTCCCCTAGGCGAGACGATTCTACTGCCTAGTCACGCGCGCCCCTCTGCACAGGCCTAACGACGCCCTGTCCTACAGCCCGCACGGTGCGCCCGCCGCTTGCGCGCTGCCCCTGCTGATCGCGCGCTGCATTTGCTGCCCGCGCTCTCCTAGCTCTGCCCGCGACCTGCTAGCGCACTGCTGCCCCAGAGCTGCTGCTGCGCCTGAGCTGCTACCGCGCCTGAGCTGCTGCTGCTGCTGTGCGCCTTCTCTTGGGTGCTACTGCT